AAGGGAATCTTTCTTGCCAGTGGACTGAGGATACTATTCCAGCACCAGCACACTTCACTAAGTCCACAACTAGCAGAAATCCCTCTTTAACAGGCTTTGCACCTTCAGGCTGTTCTTAAATAGGTCTTGGTAACCACACTGTAAACCCTCCCCAAATCCCTGCACATTAGTTCTGCCTAATGAGTGTTCCCTTTCCTCGGTTACATAATGAAGGCTCCATTTACTGTGTGACTCACTGGGCTTACGTTGGATAGCCTAGCTTCTGGATTTATGTGGCAAAGCTGTGCTGGCTTCTGTGGCAAAGTTAATTGATTTTGAAGCCTTCTGATTTGTTGAGATATTTTTAAAAATGCCCTGCACTAGGGAATATGAGGACTGCACTGGAGTGGAGCAGTAATCTCCAAGTCAGACGGAGCTACTGTTACAATAATTAAAACAAAAGATTATCATTTGTATTACTGAAGCACTTGGAGGCCCCAAATGAGATCAGTGCTCCATTCTACTCATTGCTGTACATATATCTGGTAAGAGACAGTTTCTAACCCTGAAGAGATTACTATGTAAATAGGCAAAATGATCAAATGATAGGAGATAAAAAGGTCTTAGCATTACCTAGCAGATCTGGGAGTAGGCCTTCTGCATCTGAAGCCAACAGTCAAGCCCCTGGCCCACACTTCTCAACCTCTACATTATAATCTGAATCATGAAGCTGAATGCTCTTTTTAAAGAGTTGTATGGCTGAAGGTCTTATACTGGGGTGGTAGATTTTATATCCTAATGCTTTTATTGTATTCTGGGTTCAAGTACTAAAAGTGGGAGGGGCAGCAGACCAATAATGATGTTAATACTTTCCACACCATTGCCATGCCTCTGTATTTTCATCTGGCTCCAGTTTCTGCATTTGCTCAGGGGACTTCATGCACTGTATATCACTGCAGACTTTGGCACAAAGTGCCCATGTCCATTCATTGCTCTCACAGATACCTGACTGTTACAAAGATAGTGTTGCTTTTGAAGCACTGCATAACAGCTCAGGCAGATGCAAGTGTCTGGGGGTCTGAAACGATGACCTACGATATCCATCACTGAGCAGCTGCTGGAAATCAATCCCAAGCTTTCCATGGTTTGCAAAGAGCGTGCACAGGGCTGTCCCCTGGTGAATCGGGACAACTACCCTGGGCTTTGTGCGGGGTGCCCCGCGGAGCCAGGCCAGCTTTGCATCTGGCCGCTCGCCCCCCGCCACCCCCTGCTACTGCGTCCAAGTCCCACGCAGGCTGATTTGCCCTGGGCCCCACACCCTGCTATGGTCATCTCTGAGCATGCAACATGAGAAGTTAGATATGACACGGATCGGCAAATTTAGAGGATGAGCTGATTGTCCAGATGGGGAAAGCCCCAGAATTAGCATCACAGATCAGTCCCACAGAGTGAGCTCCATCTGCAGCACAGAAGCCAGGATCCCCCTCAAATTCTGACTAAGTCCCAATAACAAGACATAGCATGATGTAGAAATTGTGCCGTGGAACTAATGGCAGATTTCAAATGAATCAAATGGATCAGGAGGCCTGGACCCAAACAGAATCCCAGATTTGGCGATGGGAATGGGAACCCCATTTAAGAAACCCTCAGGCATGCTTGGAGCTCTCTGTCTCCATACCCTGAAAATATAACAGCTGTTCTGGAAGCTGGCATATTTTCTTATCTGCACCTCATCAGACTCTTCCTGAA